CTTACATTATTGCCTTGCCAAAAGAAATAATTATCTTACCAGCTGAGCGAAGCACTAACCAGTTAAACCATATATTGATTGGATCCACACGCAGAGCACAGTCAGAGGAACTGGGAAAACTTACTTCCCGTGCCCCACTGTGGAAGTGGTGAGCCTGCTTTGCCCTCCGTTACACTGCTGCCATCTGTGAAGGCTTCCTGCACTGTGACAGGTTGATGTGCACTGCAGGGTGGGCATGACCAGTCCTTTGAAGCATTTTCCTTCTGGAGCACAGTGTGGCCCAACAACATCAAACTTTCTGACGACAATCTCTCCTGAGTCAGGGTTAAACTCACACGGTATTTCTGATTGTTGGTTCCCTACCATCTCCTCTGATCAAAACAGTGAGCTAATTAGGTTTCACTTGGCCAGAACTTGGAAGAAGAACAAGGAGCAATGAATGTGCTGTGTCAGAAAAAGCAGCCTCAAACTGGAATTCACTTATGGGAACAAAAGTTATTCTGGAAATGTCTCACAGCTGTGTGTAGTCCATGTACAGGAGAGATAACATTGTCTGAGGGATGTTGTGCATATATCTTGCTCTGGGATGCAGGTGGTTTTTTTTTCTTAAATCGAAAGCCAAATTAATATAAATATTTAATATCTGGCTTATTCTTATTCATTGGCATGCCTACCATGACCCAGACTAATACATAAATGATAACTGTGAGGTTTGGTGGACTGAATACGGTCCTGATCCCAGAATTCTGGACTCAGTAGAAAGATTTCTCTGCCTTACACAGGCACTGAGGCATTGGGTTATATCCAGAATTGTTTAGTTGCCTCTTTGGATGTTATTCTCATGTACTCATATTCCAAAGTAGCTTTATGGTGTATCACAGCTGTTACATTTCTACTGTGTTTTGGGTTTGCTGGGGGTTTTTCTTAAGGTGAAAATATGTAGATAGTTCAAATTATTTTGAGGTTTAAAGTACTATTCCTGTATAGCATCAATACAGTGACAAGTCACTGCAGCTCTGAAAGCCCCATGATTTACTAGTGATGCCTTTACAATATCTGTGCAGTAAGGGTGTAGATCAGAAACTGATTTGAAGTTTTAGACTTGAATACGTTCATATTCTGTGAATAAATTGCAGTTTTGAATGTGTTCACTGGGGTGTGAGAGACTGTTGTTTATTCTATCTCTATGCCATCATCTGCAAATTGCTTAATAGCATAAATAAATGTTACATAAATCTTAAAGGTTATTTTTTTAAGAAGCAAAAGCAAAATAATAATAGTGGAAAACTTTAATTTGTGGTTATTGTCCTGCTGAGTTCCTGTTTGATTGCTGGGTTAGGTTTGCTACAATGTGCAGATTCTGTTTACAGCCTTATGACATTTATTGATATTTTAATAAGAGATTAGGCTAAGAAATGAGTATGATTGTGCTGGATTAAAACTGGATGGCTGATACTGTTAATCCCTACAGCATCTACACCTAGTGCTTTGACGGACTTTGCCACCCCGAGGGCATTGGATCTGCTCAGGAGGAAGCTCCTAAACCATGGCAGCCTTCAGTCTGCATATGAGCCATCCAGGTGCCCCAGAGCAGTGGCAGACAGTGACACCCAGTCACAAGGGCTTCCAAGATGGTGTGTGATGGCAGGGCTACAGACAGTGCCTGGGGTGTGTTAAGCTAAGCCTGTTTGACCACGTTGAAGTCTAACAGTAGGTCTGGTACATGTCCTGCTTCTCAGCACTTGAGGAGAGAAGGTAGGGCTTGTTGGCAGAGCGAGCAGCATGAGCCTCTCTTGAGTATCTGACACTGACCCATGGCAGCTCTGATCCAAAGATAGGCAGGATTACAGAGAAACAGAATCAGTTACGTTGGCAAAGACCTCGGAGATCATCGAGTCCCACCTATGACCAAAAACCACCTTGACTACCAGACCATGGCACCAAGTGCCTCATCCAGTCTCTTCTTAAATACCTTCAGGGACAGTGACTCTTCCTCCTCCCTGGGCAGCCCATTCCAGTACCCAACCACTCTCTCTGTAAAGAACTTCAGTAACAACTTCATGCCTGTAGGACTTGGTGTGCTGACCTTGACCAAACTGGTCTCCATCAGCTGTTCCTTACAACCTTAGGGAAGCATGAGAAGAAAAAATCTTGATTCTTTACTTCTGGAACATGCTCATGTTGTAAAGCTGGGAAGCTGTCTCAGCATGTGGGCAGTACAAATTATCTGTCTGCAAAAAACTGCCCTGACATGGGTTTTTTTCTTCTGCGGGGTATTCTGCTGGTTAGATATTTTTTTCATCAGTAGCCAACAAGCAAACTTTGCAGCTGGCAAAACCAACAATTTATTCAGCTGCTATGGATTTGTTTTTTTCTCATGTTTCTCTCCTCTGTGTTAAACTTCAAAAAGTAAATTAATACTGGCATTGAGGCCAGTCCAAAATTGCCATGGTATTACAGACCTACTCAGTTAACTTTGACTGAAGTAATCTATGTTTGGTGTGGGACTGGTTTGCTGGGAGGATATGAATGTGGTTTTAGTTATCAAAGAATTTTGTCATCTCAGACTGGTATATCCAAAGACATTTTTCTTTCTTTTATGGTTATTCGTGTTTTCTACCACTTGAGTTTGTTTCTGTCTTAGCAAAATGAGAAAGAATCAAAAGCCTCTTGATCTAAATCTTTTATTTGTACTGGACTGAAAAGGTATTGAGTTGCTTATTTGACAATCAGTACCTGACAGGTGTTACATCTCTTTCTAATGCCCTTTATGCAATGTTTCTTAATGTAAAAAAGACTATAACAAAAGGAAAGAAAATCTGGGGCTTTGGTTTACCTTCTTTTCTTGTTAAAGAAGGTGAAGAGTTGAAATGTCATAGGTGAACTGAGACTACATCCTGCAGCTAGAGAATGTAAAGAGAATTTAAAGAAACCTTTTAAAAAAAGTCTTACATAGTATTATCAATTCCTATATAAAATAATTTAATATTTTAAATTCTGTTTAAATAATTTATCTGTATTTAAAACTAACTTTTTAAATTTCATGTTTGGAACTTTTCTGGCATTAACACTTAAATAATTTTTTTAAAATATTAAAAAGTCTTTTAAATATTCAATACAATTCAATATAAAAACAGAAAAAGCAATATACATTGTTCACACATAGTATTGTACATGACAGCTGAGCTCTAGAGTGAGCTTATGAATTTGTCAGGCAAGTCATAGCTTAGTTGTGGTGAACCACTTGCTCATCCTCTGGACTCTTAAGATTATAACAGATCCTTACCATCAATATATAGTCTTTAATATTATACACACATACTGTATACAGAATTTAATTTCCATCTCTATGCCCAAATTGTAAATAAATATTTTTTCACAGCGTTTAGATCAAAATATTGTTTAGCATACACAAATATATTTGACACACACAGTTTGACAAAAACCATACCCATTTTGCTCAGCTCAGTTACAGGAGGATTGGACTCAGATGTGCAAAAGAACATAATGGAGGAGTTGTCACTGTTATATTTAAAGTGTATAATAAACTTACTAACAAATGTTTACAGGTGGTGTTAACAGCAGGAGAATGAGGATTCCCTTGGGCCCTTGGTGCATTTCCATGAATCCTGCTAGCAGTGAAGGCAGTGGTGGAGGCAGAGGTGGAGGCTGGTGTCTTACTGCTCCTGTCTCACACCTGGGGTTCTCTGACTGTGTCACAGACTCAGTGTTACAGACGTTGACAGGACTTCACTAAAGGCCAAGCACCAGGCTCCAGTTTTTAAGCCCAGGCATGTCTGTCACTGATAATTAAGTTTACTGTCAAATTATGCTTTCTCCATCCTCCTGTGTTTGGCAAGATGATTTCTACAGATACTGTAAATGGATTTGGATGGAAAGAGAGGGACTCTCATGCTTCCTATATTTCATGCATCATGTATCATGATTGCATTAATTGTGTCCCATTGTGCAAGACAGTCCTCAAAAGTCTTCATTTCTTCCTAGAAAATTATTGTCCAAGAGGACCCCAAAACTTTACAAAAACTAAATTGAACACTCTACATAGCTACTTAGGGATACTTGCAGCAAGGAAAAATGCCAATGCAAATCAACATTCACACCAGGAATCCCAGCCTAGGAACATTATTCAGGGGAGCAGCACGTGCCACATGATATGTGTAGTTATTCACAAGTGAACAAAACTCACATTTCAGATTTTAGACTCAAAGTTTCCCATTCATATGCAATCTACAAACTAGAATCTACTTGCAGGCATTATTACATGGCTTGCTCTTAATCCTTGTTCCTGAAAACATAACTTCTTTATAGCTAACTCTGAGACATGGTTTCAGGATGAGCTTTCAAGAAGGTGTTGAATGTTTTGCTCGTGTCTTTGCAGTGTAAGATTCTAATGCACCTTCAGGAGGACAAAATTCACAAACTGTGAGAGATATCCTGCCTTCCTTTCACTTGTCCTGCCCTATCTCAGGCAGGAAGGTGCTTGCACAAGGTGTTCACTCAGGTGAGGGACTGTACCTATGGTGACTCTAGGCTTGGTTTACATCCAATTCGATTCTCCTGCTTTCAGGGGAGAAGACTCTGAAAAGGAAATCATTACCTAGGGAGAATAAGCATCTCAGTTACTTTATTTTAATCCACCTTAAAAGATAAACTGAGGCCTTGAGTTCATTTCACAGTAAAACAACGGTACAACTGGCCTCTCTGTCTCTGAAGACCTCGACCAAAAAACTGGGATTTTGCAGGATAAAGCAAGCAGCCAGTGCTAAAGTAGTCCTCCCCCACATCTTTTACCACTTACATCACTGGTTGGGAATACTGGTGTGCTAGCAAGGGACTAATTCTCAGCTATTTTGTACACACAAAGTTTCAGATCCTAGTATTTTCAGCTCAGTCCTTATCATTAAGTCATCAGTCATATCAAAAATAAGAGAATTTTGACAAGAGAATTTCAGAATCAGAAATAACAAAAAGTGATGAACTATTAGTTTTGCCTTTGCAAAAATCTTTCTAGGCTCAAGAGAATTTATATTTAAGTCTTAATCTTTCTGTGGATGTATATGCTAGGTATATATAAATATATATTTATACATTTTATAGTTTATATCAGACCCAAAAAACTTTATTATTCATTAATACTCATCTGATGATAAACTGAGCAGAAAAGGTGAGTTTTCTTGTAACAACAATGTTATGGTGACTCAACAGGAGGAGTTCTATAGAAGGAGAGGCACACAGCAGATCAAACATTTAATTTTTAAATGAAAACATTGATCTCAGGATTTACTGGCTTCTTTGCTTTAGATTCCTCACTTATGCTTAAGCCTGTACAAGACACTGAGTTACTTTTTCCTCACTGGAATCTGGTTAGCAGTAAAGAGGCAAGTGTGGGAGTTGTTGGGTTTTTTTTAAACAAGTGATAATAAAGGCATCATAAATCAATCATTTTTCTTTCTGATAGTTAAAAAGGTCATCAGTTGAAAGAGTGCCTTTCTGGGGAGAAGGAAGAAGTAGTAAATACTGCACAAATTACTGTGAAGCCTGTTTAAGAATTCAGGCCAAACTTCTAGGTCAAATCCAGAAAGATATGGAAGGACAAGTTATAAGGTATGACCCCTTAACTTTCAGGTTTTTGATTCAGAATTCTGAAAGTCATTTCTGCTCTATTCAAAGTGCATGGAGGGAGGTACAGGCTGACTGGCTGTAAGTGAGCCTGAGAGCTACATATGACAGCTCAGTAAGAAGCAGTAACCAAAAAGACGACTACTTCTCCCCTTTTGCTCTGCTGTTTGAGCATCCATGTGGATTTAATCCCCTCCTAAACATCAGTGTTTACAATCACCATTCAAATAGTTAAGATGGACCGCGTTATCTTTTACAACAAAATCTGGAAGAAGTGACATTTGTGGCATTGCCTACCTCTTATTTTGTGATAGCCAGTTCAAACGTGTGTAAGAGCTGGTGGTGCAATACCCTGTCATTCTGAAGGGTCTTGCAGCCACTGCATTTTCCACAAATGAGGGCTCAAAGGAGCTGTGCCCAGGCAGCCCAAAGAGAAATCCTTAGCTTCCCTTGCGAAATGGTGCCACTCTTCCAAAAGGAACTCAGGATCAGAGAGGGGGGCAAAAGAAAGCAGACAGTGAGAAGCAGTACACTCATTAGAAACAAGCAATCAAAAACCCCACATTCTTATTTGCTACATACCATTCAGAGAAGCAGGTTCTAGTTAGGAGTTAAGCAAAATCTTTAGACACAGCCTCTACAAAGTTTGGTGCTGACATTAAAATACCAATTGTACAAATGATTGTGAAGACTGAAAAGGCCATCAAGCAGAGCCGATCCACTACAGAGGCTGCAAACTTCCATTCATTGCAAATGGCTTCCTCTTCATCCTGGTCTCTGAACCGGTTTGCAATGTACCTGACCTCCTCCAAAATCTTAGCCAGATCTGGGTCACCTTCAGAAGGGTGGCCACTGTGCAGCAGGTTTTCTTCATCTGTTGGTGAGCAGGTCATCCTCCCACAGATTACACCTGAATCAGTGGTAGGTGTGCAGTGAACCCCTTCCAGCCCCCTAAACCCAATGTACAGCATGTTCCCATTGCTGGATTGCTGTCCACTCACAGTGTTCATCTCCACACTGGACAGGCTGCAGCGGCGCTGTTTGTGTTGGCAGGCAGGACGCACTTTCTCTTCCCCTGGTCTTTTCATCCTCAGGAACCAAGCACACCAGTTCAGAAGGATGATCCTTGTCTGAAAGAAAAGTTTTGAGAATAAACATCTCTTCACACAGCCACTGTCTTTGGGTGCTGATGATGTTCGTGCAGCCTGGGGGACTGTCTGGTCCATGGTCTCTGCTTATTCTGAAGAGGAGTTCTAGAAAATGGTGACAGTTTTCCTGCTGATTAATTTGCCAAGCACTGACGTTGTTTTTTATTGCCAGCTTGCAGTGCTGTTGATTGCCTCAGACTGACTGCCAGCACTTAGGACTTCCTCCTCCTCTGATAGGAGTCTCCATAGTCTCCAAATAGTGTTAATTTTTCCTGGCATTTTAACAGTGGTATGGGTGTCTTTTCCACCTTTACTAGAAACCATGGGTTCAACAAAAGAAAACACTTACTTAAATGAGTTACTTTGTAATCGTCATAATAGCACTACTTTGAATTGTAGTCAGTAAGTTTACATTTCTTTTACTTGTATTTGTGCTCTAATATTAAATTTCCAGGCCATTAGTGTTTGGAAGGGGCTGCTAAAACAGATTCTATACTGGACTGGCCCACTAAGCTTCACAATGTTTGGACTCTGTTTCCACGTTTCATTCATGACAGTTGATTGCAGATTTTAGAAAACAGAGCTTGATATAATATGGAGAAAAGATGGGAAAATTACTTTGATTTTAAAAATACTTTTCAGACCTAATCAGTGCATATTATTCTATTGTTTTCCACATTGCCTTAATCCATCCTTGCCAAAAGTGCAGGCAAGCCAGAGACTGTTCCAGTTTTGACGAAAGCTTCTATAATTTATTTCAATCAGATTTTAAGGGCTTATTCCAGCATTTCTTTTCCAGAGCCCTAATGAAATATTGTTGTCTTGTATATCGTGCAAATTTTACACTATAATTAGATTTGGTCCATTTATTCTGACTGTGGATTGCTACTCAGAGTAGATTTTATATCCAGGCAAGCATCCTAACCAGAGACAGATCTTGCCGTTACTCTCTTTACACTATCAAGTTTCACCAAGAAGGATAATATTTGTTAACTGCAGGCCTGACCAAAAATCTACCAGTATCCAAATAATGTTTGTTGTTCTTCAGCTTCTCAACACAACAGCTCACTGTTCAACCTTAAGTACTCTGTTTTCTGAGGACATTTGGCTCAGTCCTAAATATTTGTTCCCTTTCTATCATCAAACATGAGTCTAAAGAGATATATCTTTTATTCTCTGCATTGAAATTTATTTTAAAGTCACTACTCCAAAATAGGCCAGGGAATATCTCATTATCTCTTGTCCTCAGGGTACTGCTGTATTCACATGCTTTCTGGCTAGTAAGGATAATAACAACTCATTGTTCTAGAGAGAAAAAAAGGAGAAAGGTCTCTCCATTTCTCCAGAAATGCCCGATGCTACTGTGAGCTGGGGAAAGTCAGCAGAAGATTCTCAGCACTGTGTAGTAATCCAATATGAGCATAATGTTCTCTCTAAAAACAACCCCTCAAAAAAGTACCTTGTCTACATGCTTACAAATATGCTTTAATTCTTCTTTGCACTTTATAGACGTTCTTGATTCAAAGATCAGGATTTTCAGAGCAAGTTTCACTTCCCCTTTCCCATCCATCTTTAACAAATGCTTTTTAGGATATAGATGTTTCTGTATCGACAGCAGCTAAATATGTAGCAGTTTCACCTTGAGGGTACTGTATTTCATGCATTTATCATCTCCATCAGCACCTTACTCTTTTCTTCTCCCTGTTTCACTTCTGACATCTGAAGTTTATTTGAAAATCACCTTCATTTATATATAATAGATTTAGCAAAATCCTGAGTTGCTTATAGCTGTTTTGGAGGATATCAGAAGCAAGTGGAGGTATATTCATTCTCTCTCTTGCACACACATTCTCTAAGAAACCAACCACACAAAGCATCTCATTTCTGGTGAAATTACTTTTCCAAACAAAATGTTTAGGAAGAATTCATATGTTTTTAATGGTAAGAAGTGATCACAGACCCTCAGCTACTCTATCACATCCCTGACTTGAACATTTATGAAATGGACAATGAAGGAAAATCAAACCTTACCCATTTAGGCATTTTCCCGCCATCTGGATCATGGTGGTGGTATTGTAGAACAATAACAGTGACAACCACAGAAAGACCAACAATAATCATAGTGCTGGCAAAATACTGAGCTGCAAAATAAACAGATAATTATAACAACATCCTCTGGCTGATACAGCTTTTGTAAGGCCTGTTTACATATGTGCATACACAATGTTTATCTCTTTTTCCAGAGTACTGATGCACATGCTACTTTAGGAACTTTTGGAAGACTTCTCAACAGCAGAAAGATCAATCATTAATTTGAGCCAATGTTTAGCAATTGTTTTTGTGGAACTGAGCACCTGCCTCTTCTAAGCAACCTTGAAAAATTTGTCTTCTAATTTTCTTTCATCAGTATTATAGAGACTGGCTAGTACTTTATGTTTGAACAATTACAAGGGGAAGATGCCATTATGTTTAGCTCTAATTGGAATTAGGAATACAGATAATAATTTCATGAATTCTATCAGAATTGCAACAACATCTTCCATGGAAAATTGACAGCCTTATGTTTTTCCCAAATAAACCTAGGTTTTCTGCTTCACTCAGAGCAGAGAGCAGCATCAGAGTCTCTTGTCAGCTGGCAGCATTTTTCTAATTCAACTGCAGTGGATCACTGTACAAGTGGTGATTGGCCTTTGGACCAGTCACTGCACCGTGTTTGACAAAAATCCCCAAGCGAATCAAAGCTCACCAATTAAGGGCACAGAGTCAGACGTTGCTGGCATAATTTCAGCCACAAGCAGCATGAAGACAGTGAGAGACAATAAAACCGTGATACCTGCAAGATAAACATGAGGTGTGAAATTATATCAGAGACTTGTAACTACAACACAGAGAGAAACACTATGAATCTGAAGGAGTGCTCTTGGCAGGAACAATCAATCCCTCTGTACCCCTGCACCAGCACATTAGTGGTGCTCCTGTCCCTTTTGTACCACCTCAGGCTCAGGGTAGCAGTGCTGCCAAAGTAGTACCAAAGCTTGCAGAGACATAGATATTTTTAGATCCTTGTAACTGTTCAACTTTTGTGACCATTCGCTAATTAGCTGAGGTAAATCAAAGAAATTGTTGTACCATGTTTGCTTTAGAAACACGGTGTGATTTGGAGTGTTTGAGCATGTGACACTTGATTAATTGTCATGGAAGCTACAGGTGGTGTAATGCATAAATTTCCTGAAAAGCAGATTTGCTGTTTTAAATAGACTTTGATATCTTCTGATATCAGCTGTTGGGTTCTGCAGGGAGCTATGCCCAAGCACTCTTAACTATTGATTTTTGGAGTTTGACTTCTGTTGCTCAGTGACGAGCTCCCATCTTTCTGGAACAAGGCTTAACTGTTTTCTCAGGACTAGTCTTACACAATCAGGAGTCATTGCCAGCTGGGAAAGATTTAGGAACAAAGAATTCATCTTAAAATATTGGGAGGGACTACTTGATTAGGAAGGCTACTACTTGATGAGGGAGGCTATTACTCATTCTGGAGAGATGCCAGTTTTGTTTCTACCTTTGAACAGGTTTGTCTACTTAGTGGAAGCCAGTGCATCTGAATTTTTGTATGGGACAAAAGGTTTCTTTACATATTTAACCTCCATCCTAAAGATCAAACACTCAAAATCAGATTTGTTTCACAAACCAATACTTCAGTTAAAATTTGCAGTAAAAAGTAAATTAGGAGCAGTTAGAATCAATCTTTCTGAGAAGGCACCATAGGCTCTTACAACAACTTGGTATTAAAAGGAAATATTGAGAAGAATTCCATGTTAAAGTGTTCAGATGCATATTTGTAAACTTAAGCTTTACTTAATGAATTTGAGATTTTTGTTCAGCAAATATATGTCAAAAAATAAAACCCCTGCTTCTTAAGGAGAGTAGTCAGGAATTGTTTGTGCTTCTGTTGGTTCAGCATCAAACAGTAAAAATAGCTCATGAGCCAGAACAGGACCCACAGGCTACTTCTCTGCTTACTAAGACTGTTGAAAAGAATTTTTAAAAGGACAACTTCTTTTGGTTTACTCATATTTACAATATCCTATTAATAATTTACCTAGTGAGATCTTTTCTCCTGAGTCTGCTGGAAGCAGGAAAACTAACAAAGCAAGTGCTGATATCAGTACACAAGGAATAAGGAGATTGAGTCCATAGTAAAGAGTCCTACGTCTCATGGTTACTGTGAATGTCACATCTGGGTAGGGCTCTTTGCAGCACTCATAAAAGCTCTCAGTCCTCTTCCCAGGAACTCCTGTGTAGGAGGAAAGAGGAAGAAAACCAGAAATTAATGTGAGTAAACTGTGTATTACATAGCTTTTTTTTTTTTTTTAAAGATAAATGTAGCTTTCTAAGGTTTACCACAGACAAAACTACTTCTTTAAGCTTAATTCCCAATTAAGTAATTTTTTTCTTGGATCATGAGAGAAAATCAGATAAAAGATACTTACAGAACTCAAGCAGCAAATCTGCCATCTATTTTTTTTACATTGATTTGCATCTCATACCTGTTGTCACAGTTTCCAGTGCCACTAGCCAGATCATTTAATTAATTTAATTTCTGTCTTGATTTCATGATTGTTATTCCATCCATTTCAGCAGCAGGTACAAGGCTGCAAGTTCACAGTTTAAATAAGAAATCCAGAGCTTACCTACTAAATCCCACTCCCCATTTGAAATATAGCCAGATATATCTGCTTCTTGCATTTGTAAGTCCAAGGACCAGCCTCCGTAGGTCCAGGATCCAAACTTCAGGTTACATTTCTGAACATCAAATGGAAACCAGCGCACATCTATGTAGCAGGAGCTTTTAAATATGCCTGGATGGGATTTGAAACAAGAACACTGAATTGAAATGCTTGTTCCACAGAATTTCATGTACTTTTTTAACCAGAACTTGTTTTCCATCACGCCTTCTGTTTTTCACTTGTAAAGCACATTTGATCTCAGTCATGTCTTGACATCTAAAGAGCAAAAGTCAGTCATAGAAAAGGGAAAGAACTGTACCATTAATTTATTGATGTTCCAAACGATTTCTTAATCATTTGTTCCATTTAGGCACATAGTGGGAGAATAGTTATAGAAGAGCTTGGATTTCTAGATCCTATATTTCAGAAAGAAATGAAGCAGAATATGTAATCTGTTTCTATTTCTTTTACTGACTAAAGTAAGAAATCCTGAAATATAAGAAATCCTGAAATATTATTTGCTGTCTTATTAGATTTCTATGACCTTGATTTACTCAGGAAAGCTAGCTTCTTATTTTTCACTTGTTGAGTCAGGCCCTGTCCTTTAGCAGCTTTCAGAATCAAATTGAAAAACCTCCACCAAATGGAACATCTTAAATCAAAAGAACAACAGGCAAACCCCTGAAATCCTCTTGGGATCTTAGGGGGAAAAACTAATTTATCTGGAAAGCACTTGGCTCTACTGCTATAGTTCCCAAAATTCAGATTCTGAGAATAGTTAATTCTAATAATTGTGCTAATTGAGTTGGGGAACAGATATATATCCAGAGTCAGTCATACATCAAATAAATATCAAACACAGCCTACTTTCCTCTCAGACTAAAAATTGTGTTGATGAAGCATCCAGTGAATCATTTCAAATAGAAATACATCCAAGATATTACAAAGTATCTTACTGTAAAATCAACATATTAATAAAAGAAACACTACATTAATTAAATAAATTTTTATTGAGAGGCATTACCCTACCTTTAATAAAAAAAATCTTTTTATAGTAAGGACTTTTATTTTTTATCTTTTTTTAATACTTGCAAACTTCTGAAATTGTGCATTATGACAGAATAATTTACATAATTGTAATAAAACATGTATCTTTGTGGTGGTTTTCCTCCAAGGGTGTAACGATGTAACTCATAATGCACCTAGACTTCAGTCTATCAAATGCTCCTAGGCAGATAAATAAAATATCAGAGAATTGATGTCAAATTTGAAACCACACCATACACAAATAGTCTGAGTTATCAACATTTGTGACATGCAAACAGCCTACCTGGTGGCAGGTATTGGCAATGGCCTGAAGAATTCACTAGAACATTGGTGTGAAAAGTAGCATCAAATCTTTCATCAGCACTAGAATAGGGAAGACACAAAATGGGTTATATGCTCTTTGAGTGGCTGAAGAATATCTGAGATGAATCTGTTCTTCATAAAAGGATTATTTCACCCCCAAAACTTGAAGCTTTTTTCCTGTCACCAGTTTTCTGTGGCCTCATTGTAACTGGCCTGATACTGTTGGGTTTGTTCCTGATTATCAACTGTAAGTGAAGGTGGAGACACCTCATTCTTGCTTGCTCACCTGTCTCACCAGATTCATTACAGTGCCGTGGCTCAATTGATTTCCATTTGGAAAGTAAGCACTTTTAAAAATCTCTCAAGTATCTGTACAGGAAACTTTGTTCTCTTGCTGCTTACGTCAGCAACAGCTGCTGAATACTGGGGAGATGGATCCTCCAGCGTCTGTGCCTTCCTACCTCTTTGCATGGGTGAATATTATTTCTACATGTCATACACAAGACTCTTTAATGCAGCTCCAGCCTTTATTACCTACCTCAGAACCCACAAACTGGGTTCAGAAAACAAGGAGAAAGAGGTGCTATTAGAGGTGTCAGTGTGGTGGTGCTGGCCAGGACCACCCTGGTGTCCTGGTCTTATAATTCTCTAGAAAAGAAACATAACATTACTTGGGGAATGCTCCAAATGATGAATTGGCAGCCACTGCCAAGGAATATCTCAACTCCTTCTGGCACAGTGTTCCGGGAGTTTACTAGGCATTAACATTTTAAGAACTTCTGTATGGAAAACAAGCTATTTTCAAATATTTAGATGATGAAATAAAGAGTCTTTCTTATGAAAAGCTTAGTAAGTTCACTGACTTTACTCTAGAAACCTTTCCTAGAGATGTTTAAATTACTTTTTACTTTTGCTTTTGCGATGTACATACACTCATTATAGTGTTATGCCTTATTTCACAGTTCCCATTTACTAATGGGGGGTTTTGCAGTAAGGTGTTGGAGATTCTGATCTGTACATTCCTTAAATCTCAGCACCTGGGTATTCAAGAAATGGTCAGAGTTACTGAAATTGGTGCCTGGATTAAATTGCACACAATGTGTTGGGAAGGTACCAGCAGTGAATGGTGTCAGGAATGGCACTGGCAGGGAATGGCATCTCGGAATTGTTTCAGGAACTGCTGTGTTGAATTCACCTCTGATGGCTGCTGGCCCTGATTATAGACAAAGGCTCCTTTCTCAGGCTCTTATTTGAGCAGAGAACAAGCAAAATGAGACACATAGGCTACTGTGCTTTGTTGTGCTGTTTGTAGGTTCCAAACAGCCACCTTGGGGTTGGGTTGGCACACAAAGCAAGTGCAGTGCCAGCCGTGCTGGGCAGGGCACAGGGGGTCACACAATGCTCAGGGCCTGGTTCTTGCAGCAGCCTGGGCTTCTCTTGATCTAAAATCCTGTGTCTCTCAAGGTTGATTGGAGCATGACAGGTCTCTGATGTCTCTTTGACTATTAGTGGTTCAGTACCTCATAATTTTCTAATTACCTTTTAAGACATCATTGCAAAAATACAGTAAAAATCTGAGATGGGGATAAGGTGAAATATTCTTCATTCTAGCAGAAAACAAAGTGTATTAAAAGGTGGGGGTTTTTCCCAGCAGGAAAACCCTTATTGAAATATTCTCTTTTTTTTAAAGACTTTAATATTTAATCTATTCTGATGCAAATTTTATATCTCAGAACCAAAAATAAAGCAATTGTTATTTTAGACATTTTTAATTTGCATTTTATTTTCCCCTCACATACTTGAAGAAATTAGATTTTAAAATATGTCTGGACTGGTCTGTGAAATACGCAGAGAAGAAACAGCTAAATCCAGATAATTACTTGCCTATAGGGAATTGCACTTTTTCCTGTGGTGAGCAGAAGGCTCACAAGTGCTGAAAATATTTGCAACTATTTCATTTGAACTTTAAAGGCAAGCAGAAAAGTGTAAATATTGTGACTGTATCATGACTGGATTCTAGCACATTGAGGGGAGAAGGCAGTTCAGCTCTGAGGCAGCTGAACCAGTGTGAGCCACTCCTTTAGCTCCACAGCTCATGGCTACATTCTCTGGCTTTATGTTGCAGTTTCTCTTCCAGTTGGAGCTTGAACTGTTTTCCCTCCACATTTTAGTTTCTTGCTTTTGTGTTATTTGTAAGAAACTGGTACTGCAAAGATCTCTACTCATTGCACTGCCAAGTTTGGTAGAAATGGATTCAGGGGATCTTGGGGAAGGGGGCAGGAAGATCATACACAAACACATATGTTGATAGGTGTGCACGCACACGTGCTGAAGACTCATTTCCTCAGGAAACCAGAGTCCTCCAACAAGGTTCTATATTAGACGAGTAATTGCTTTGATTTGAAATTCATAAGGGCTATATGATGGAACTCAAACAGCCAAATTCAGGATGTGAAAATATCCATGCCATACAAATCACTTGTAAAGTGGAAGGTAATGACTCCTATACTAGATTCTCTGGTGTTCCTCTGGAGCAGAGGGCAGTCAAGCACCAGGGAGTTGCTTCTAAGACCTTGCTGCTGTTTCTGGTAATTGGCAAAAATAGAATTTTTAAAAGAAGCTTTTGAAGGTTGATCAAGCAGCTTAATTTTCATTGCCACATGACTTTGGCTTTCATAAGACACATTCTTAAAAGAATATCCAGTGGCACTCAGATTCGAACATGCAATTATTTTTTCTGAAAAAGGAGAATATGTGTTTTTCTATGTCGTATTTCTGACTGTTTTATGAAGTGCACTTCTTCAACTGGGAATGCACCAAGTGGCTAAGCCTTTGCTTGATGAGACTTTGGACTGAAATGTGATGATAGAAAACTATTTCTGCTACACTTCTTCTTCAGGGTATAATGACTTGAAAGCAGATATTGATTGCAGCACATTGAGATGGCAAAGCTGTACCTAGCATACAGAATTCCATTGGGACCTATCTGGAGAACCTCAGGTTTATAAAACTGGAAAAATGAAACTGTTAAAATGAGACATAACTACCACAGTTCTTGTTATTCTGTGAAGTACTAAACACTGTGTGGCCATTTGGAAAATAATTCCACCAGAAATGAGCACTTTTAATAAGTCTAGCAAAAAGTGGAAGAAAGCCATGCATGACATTAACACAGTCAATCCTGGAATTTGTACACAGGCCAAGATTTTCTTCCCTCAGAAAAATTAGAGATGAACTGGCCCTGCTCTCTTCACAATAGACTGGTTGTAAAATTTAATACAGCTGTCACAATTTCTCTGTACTGGGCTGCAGCAAGATGTGTACAGATTCAAGACATAGTGAAACATGCATTCATTAAAATGGAAAGTGAATTTATAATTCATTAATTTCTTTGTAACTGCAGATGCACGTCCCTAGTGAAGCATATAGAAGTCGAAAGCATCTATCTCAAAATGGCCTGTCACTAAGAAAGAACATATTCCCAATATAATTTCATACAGGAGTAAGAATTTGTTTTAAATAGCTTTGCTCTCTGACTAAACTCTGAATAAGAATTTTGGATTAAGTACGAGATTGAAATAGAAACACTGTAGAATAATTAGTTCATGACTGTGCCATAGTTAACAACCCAAGGATTTGAAAACCTATATTAACAGAAAAATTGTTTTCAGCTTTTCAGGTTATTGTCACCCTTCTCATTCTATAAAGCACTTCAGCTACAGTTAGTACATATATATCAATACTACTGATTTCTAAATTACTACCCTTTCATTTCGGATACACTTATTTAAATACTGTAGCCTAAATTCTCGGACACACTGAATGCCTCCATCAGGTTTGTGATATATGTGAAGAAGAATATTGTCATGACTCAGTCCTTTGGGAACCTCTAAACTGCTGTTGTAGAGTACCAATTTTACAGCATACACAGTGTGTTATTCAGCAGGAGAATGGAAATGAAGGTGTGATTTGTCAGATTCTCCCAGGAACACTGCCATTGATGGAATCAAGTTAGCTAGGGAAAACCCCTCAAGAAAACAAATTTGCATTGAAAAATACATTAAACAACATTAATGTTGCAAAAAACACCTGTCCTGGGTGTGAGGCTGCTCTATTTTGTGCACAGAACATTTGAAAGGGTTTTTTAGGTTGGTTTGTGGACAATTGAAGCATTCATTACTATGCTTAAACTAGAACCAAGAAGTAAATCTGCCAAGCAGTTACCCTCAGGATGGTAAACTCTACTGCAGATCACTCCAAATCCTTTAGTGTCAGTGGTACCTCTGGGAGAAGCACAGCAGCTGTTTGGGAACACAGCAGGAATGCAGGCCCTGCAGAGAAGTCCCCAAGGGGCTGACAAATGCTGCCACTGGGAGCTGTTATCCCATTATTACAACCCAACAACACCCGTTACAGTGACACTGCTCTTAAACGTGGTCACCAAAAGAGAGCACAGCTGCAGCTGACATATCAGCTGAAGCTATTCTCTAAGTCTTGTTGCAACAAAAAGCAACTCCTGAGGTGGGAAGGGGGAGTCATGCTGGTAACACACCGCATGGTGTGTTCTTAGTAGACATATGGCAGAGAAACAGAGGGATAAAAGCCATCAGGAAGACAAAAGGTTCATGTCACCTGTATAGGCAAAAAACCCACAATGTACCCTGGCTGTCATGGCAGAGCCAGTGCAACATGTACAGAGCAGATGGAAGTTCTTTCCAGTTCCTGGGGAACAGCACAAAGGCCCCAACAACTGCAGAAAAAGGCACGTTATTGATGAGCAGGCAATAAAGTGCTTTACCTTGTTAAACTAAATACATCCTACAGTGGGAACTACCATATAATGGTACAGCCAAAGAAACTCTCAATGTCAGCCAAAGGTTCTGCAGTGGATTGATGGAAACCTTGTGTCCCTGAAATAGGCCCAAGTCAGAACAGTTTGAAAAGGACAGCAGCAAATCTCCCAGCTATTTTTATAGCAGGAAGAACGAGTGAGACCAAAACTGGACATGGGAAAATGCAAAGACTGGCTTTACCTGTCCTGTCTGTAGTGAAACCCAAACTAAAACTAGACAAGCATGCAAATGTCAGATTTGAATTCACTAGTAAGCATTTAGACCAAACAGTTTCAGAGAAAATTATCACTACTTGTAAACTATTAAACAGAGCCAGAAAAGTTTGCTTTTCTTATCATCTCACAAAAGCCAACCAGCTATAGTTGGTGGTAAGGATGATATCATTATTTATGAAGTACTTGCAAATATGACCTTCTGTTCTGTAAACAGGAGACTGATAATTTTCCAGTATTCCAAAAACCTGGAGTTTTGGAAAAGTATGTAAAAACTTAGACATTTTGCTGAGACAATGATTTCATTTGCCTTGCCTTGTCTTTGTGTCTTGACAGAGTGCTACATAACCTCATCTGGGCTCCCTTTCCCAAGAAAGGTTGGAGTTGAGCTTTCAAGGTCCCTTCTAACCTGGGATACTATGTGATGCTATGATTCTATGATTTTCTCTCCTTCCCCATACAAAAAAAACCAAAAAACAAACAAAACAAAACAAAACAAAACAACCACAAAAACAAACAAACAAACAAAAAAAAAGTGTGTCTACCTGTTATAGAGAAGAATATCAGGCTTCCAAATCAGTCCATCCGGAAAACGAACATTCTTCACTCCCGGGTATTCAGACACGTTCCACTGTAGATAATGATCTGTCCAGTACTGAGCCATGCACACAAAAAGTATGTTAAGTCATCTCATCCACTGGTTCGCTCTAGTTCTCTAGGGACTGGATAGACTAAAACAATAGGTGTTCTCTTGGTTCTGTTTAGCTTCAGGCAGTGAAATGTTTTCACAAGGGGGAATTAGGCCATGAACAGCTCAGTGGAACAGGTAACAACCTCATTTCCAGTTCCCACTGCAGTGCACATAACAGTCTATACAAGATTTGGGGTGTGCTTGTGTTTTACTGTTCATGCTGTCTCAGGTGCCAATTTGGGATTAAATTGCTTTTCTAATTCACACAGTAACTACTTCTAATTTTTTTCATAAATTTTACACACACTTTTACATTTTCACTTATTTCAGAGAACAGTAAAATAACATACATTTACCTTAAACATGCTTTGAAACTTTCTAGTACACCATTAATAGACAGTTAATAAGCAAACACTTTTTCTTTTTATGTGTACACAGGCCAAGAACAGTGGCTCCTTTTTTTGCAGTAACCAAGAGGTCTGCTCATTGCAGTCTTAACACGTTCCATATCCAGTACGTGCTAAGGTAAATAAATCAAAAGAAATGGAGAATGTATAAAATAATCAAGAATTTCCTTGGGGGGGGGGGGGGNAATCTCAAAAAGGATAAGGATGCTGTGGGATAAAAGAGAAGGAAAATAAATTATAGCTTTTTCAGTATGAATTGTTGTCTGTTTTCCTGGTAAGAAATCATAGCAACTATAGTCATTGTAGCTCAAAGCCAAAAACATATTATATTTGACAGTTTTAATCTTACTGTACAACAGGCCTGTAAAAAAACACGAGTTGAATGCTTCTACCATGTCAAATTTTCTTTGTGAATAAATGGAATAGCCATGCTAACCTTTATAGGTCACCAGTGATACACATATGTATATATATATACACATCACTCACTTGTTTCCTAAGGCCTACCACAGTGCAAGAGAGGTGCCCTATATAAAATGTTACAATAAAAGAAAAAATAATACACTTAAACTGACTGAGCTACTTAAAGAAACAGAAAGGTGTAAAGTTTCTGCAGAAGCAGTGAGATTGCCTGGAATAATAAAAACCTTCTGTAAACCTTTACTTAACCCAAACAGTGACAGGGATTTAACTAATTGCAAGTTCTCATCCTGACTGCCACAGATGGAGAAAGCTCCCCATATCACCCTGTCTTGGTAGAGCACTAAGTTATGGTAGAAATGGAGTCAGCAAGTTAAAAAGCATCTTAAGTCTAAGGGATAATTTAACCTTTCCGAGAAAAGAATTTCAAAATACCATCACAAAATTCTTGAATAGCCTATTATTTGTTCCATTTTTTAACAAGTGAGTGAAAATTAACTACTGTTCAGCAATGCCATGAGTAGCAATAGAAAGGAGTAAGTAGTAAGAGAGCATATGAAAATTGGTGACAATTTATAGCAACTAAGAATTGCAACACAAAGGTAAAATAAAGCCACTGTTTGAAAAATGAACATCCTAGGTGTGCAAAACAAGCTGGGAAACCAGTTGAACATTAAGAAACTGATGTTCCAGATCCCATTTTAGTCATGGAACTGAGAGAATTTGGAGAAGTAACATGAAAACCTATAATGTTCAGTTAACTTCTGATGATGACCTATGTTTAAACAACATTTTGAAAAATGTGGGAATAGCATGGCCATTTTAATAAAAATCCTCTTGCAGTTTCTTAAGGAGACAGTCAACAAAGCAAGAAGGATGGCAGAGACACTCATTAGGATAGTGGCAGGAGCTCCCAGGGATGATGAACCTCTTCGGAACCATTTTTCCCCAAATCATAAGAATCAGCTGACAATTTTCAGAGTGCTGGTCAGAACAGCTACTGCAGATGAAATGCATTTCTTGCGTGTTCTCTTTCACAGTCAAGTGATTTACCACAGCATAATGGCTTTGTTGAAATGAGTGAAAGGCACTTATACCTTCAGTTGCTCAGGCTGGGACTCTCAGGTCACCATTACCCTATGATAATGAAGACTTTAGCGTGACTAAATCAACTACAATGAGTTCATAACTTATTTAGATGTAGTGTCTCAAATTTTTTAAAGTTTTCAGAAACACCTGAAACATCTAGACCTAAAGCTCAGCCTTACAGTTTGCCATTCAGTTTAGCTTTGTCCATTGTGCAGCAAGATATAGAACAAAAGCCTGACAGTTTTCTAAAATTCAAACCTCTTACCAGATTAAACTCAAATATCAAAGAGGAAAAAAACATACTTTGTTTCAAAACTTACCATTTGCAGCCAGATATTTGTTGTTAATACTTGATTCTTTTCATCCTGGGTGGAAGAAGGAGAAGAAGAAAAATAAAACAAAGCAGTAAATATATTTGACTATTATAAAATAGCCAGTTGCTCTAAGGTTCCTTTCTAAGCAAAGAAAATCACTGCCTCTCACTTAATGCAACAGAAGTCTTCACAGGTAATGATGTTTTAATGTTATTTCCCGGGTAATGGTGTTTTAATGTTATTTCATAGTAGCACTGTCAGTCAAACTGTTTCCTGAGGGCATCCTTCTGCCAGACTCTTCCCTGGGGCTCCCTCTTCAAAACAGAGGGAGCATTCTCCAAAGGAAGGCAGATCACCGCGGGGGTGCCTGTTTCACCTTTGTGAGAGGAGCAGCCCTCTCACTGATTAACCTTATACATCAGGCATCTGCAGGTAGCAGAAAAAACAATGAACAAATAAAGTGTGACTAAGCTCAGATGGTGTGTGTTGGGGCCACACTGAGCAGGTTCCTAACAGGCCAGTAGCACCACTGATACCAGTGGAACTGTACAGAAAGTGTTGTATTGGCTTTAGAAAGCTATTGTCAGGGCAGAATGTTATTATTATTATTCTGCCTGAAACAATTCCAATTTGAAGGCCTTGCCTCCTGTGACTATTTGATGTAAACTCAGGTGACACAACTGGCATCTTAATGCTGAAAGTAAAGAGCTTAATTATTCACTTCTCAGACACAGGAAAATCTAGGTGACCTTTTTCTGTGGAGGCACCATCTCAGTATCCACCTGGGTTGTGTGAAGCTGATGGAATATACTATATACAGTCAGTATTACACATTCTCCTGTGTGAACACACAGTCCCTGTAACACCAGTCAAAGTTCCATTTACACTCTAAGAAAGTGTCTTAGGAAATTCACTCACCTGTACAGCAGCAACTGCCAGAGTTGTTCCTATGTCTAGACCTCTGAACTTAAATCTGTCACTCTTGAACTTAAATATTGTTCCTAAATGCCCAAAGATGGCTAAAAAATATTTAATTGCATTTTGCACCATAAAAAAAGCTTTTTTTTTGTTAATACAATTTACTAACAGTCATTATTTTTTACTCTTTTGCTGTTGCTTTTATGAATTTATACCTGAAGAGAGGTCCTAAGAGGCCTTTAATTGAAACCATTTTAGATCAGCACAATAGAAGAAAGCTACACAGCATGTGAAATCAAGTACTCTGCAAGGGATAATGACAAGGGAAGCTTTTTGAGGAGCAACATCAGTGAATGTATTGCAGTGTTGCTAGGTTGTGTATTATAACAACTAAATATACAACATATAAACAACTAGAAATATTTTAGATAAACATCAGTAATGGACATGAATAAAGTTTGCCCTCGAATGCACACTCTTATCTTGCTTTAAAATGAAGAGTAAAATAAAAATTATAAATAAGTACAGATCACAGCTAGTAGTTTAGCACCTTTCCTCTCTATTTTCTGCTTCATCACCTCCATGAACCTCAAGTGAATATCTCATTTAAATGGCATCCTGGGGTGACAAGTCTAACCATTTAGTTTCAGAAATCCACTATTAAGCTGCATTGAATTTTCATGCTGAAGGCATTGCTGAAGATGTCAGGCAAAGCAGTAATTAATCTGCAATAGTAGCTGTTATTCTCTACCATATAAACATTCATTTGGAGCCTCTCTCAACAACAACCTGCTTGTAGCATTAGAGCACAACCAAACTCATTTGCATGGGATTTTTAATTCATGACTGGAGAAGCAAACCTGAAGAGATCATTCATATGAATTAAAGTCTAGCATGAAGTGTTGCACATTAAGGACATGTAAAACCTATACATGTTTCTATTCATCAAAGCCAATTTGAATCAGATGTAAATAACACCAATGGTTACTCAACATCAGAAGTTTGACACCATTTTCTCAAAGCTCTGTGTGCTGTCCCAGATGAATACGACAAGTTTCTATGATGCAATATTCCAGGTATTGCACCTGAGCAAAGCCAAGAGCAGCGCTGCAGGGTGGCTTTTCTGCAGGGCAGACAGTAGTTTTGTTGTTTTGAACAGGCATAACTGGCTACTCAGAAGGACAGAGCAATTCAGAACCCGTTACGTTGTGGGAAGCTTGTTTCGGGACTATTAGCTGAATGGCACGTCCTCCTGCATGGTTAAACTCTGAGTTAAACTCACATTTTATTCCCAGTGTGATCTCTTCCTACACATGAATGGCCTCAGCCTTAAATTAGTGATGTTTCAGAAAGTCTCTTTTCAGTAGCAGGAAAAAATTGTACTAAAGCTGGAGTGTTGCTGATGCTTCAACTACTGATAGGCTGTGGGGAGCTACTGTCAGCCCTGAGCCCACAGCACAGGCATATGGACTAATTTAGGAGTACCAGGATGGAGCTCTACTATCAGCCAGTGCACATCACAGAACCAGGCTACAGAGCCATCACTGAGCAGTCAGAACAGCACAGCTGAGGGGGACAGCAGACTTTTAAACCAGCTGTGCTGCTGGCAGAATGATTCAGCTGCCACTGCCAGGCAGCTGAGCACAGGGAAAGCCATCACAGGTTTGCCTGCAGGAGACCCTGCAAACACGTTCTGAAAGCCAGGAGTTACTCTGAAGTGTGATCTTTCACTCAAACCTGCCCAGGAGAGGTTATCCTGAGAGCTTTGGATCAAACATAACTTGTGTAGTGAACATAAGCCCCAAGTAAGGAATGTTAACTGTTGACTTTCAAAAGGATGTCAGCACATGTAGTATCCACTCTAGAAAACTTATGCAGCAAAAAGCAAGGGCAGAAAGAAGTAAAATAAGCCTGAAGGCCTATAGACTGGCAGGCAGTGATGTGCAGAACCTGGCAAGAAACACATGCTTCCCAGAAAACTTCCATTAAGTGACTAAAGTCTATTAGCTGTAATTCTTGCAGTTCAACCCCAGATTCTTTATTTTAACAGAGTTGAACCTCATCTAAATTACAGAAAAAGTAATGGCCCCTTGAACTCGGATTCAATGACTTTGAACGTTAATAAAAGGCTTTGTAAAAACATTTTAAGATATCACTTGTTACAACGTAATGCTGGGTTCCTGAAGCTAATAATTGTAGTCTGAAGTTGAAAATAGCCCAGCAGCCAGTGAGAGACATGTAAGACACTCCCATTACAGATTTTCACTTTTGTTTGCCTGAATGTCATCCTACTGAAAGCAACAGGTTAGTCAGTTCATTAGCTCTTATTGTCTCAGCACTTGCTCATTAAACATTCTCAACATCATTTGATCCACAAAGCCAAATTACCTGTGCCTAATGACATGTTCTCCCCCATCACTTAAAACCCTGTTATATTTAATTTCTGCTTCACACAGCTTGGGGTTTTCTTCCTGTTCATTTTTAGGGTCATTTACTGAGCTCGCTAAACTGTATCAAGTGAAAAAGCTTGAATTCTTATAGAATTAGTACTGAAAGGATGGGCTGCAGGGCGGGTTAAGCACTCGTAAAATGGCCGGGTGACAAAAGGTTGATGCTGTGTCCACACTTCAGGCAGCCATAAAGTCAAGATGAATGTGAGATCCTCAAAACTTATGGAGAGCAGAGAAAGGGCTTTGCTTGTGCATCCCTGCCCATCGTCCTGCTGTACACCAGCACCCTGGGAGCCTCCAGGCGGCCAGACAGTATGTGGTCCAGTTTCATCCACCTGCATCCTGTCTGAAAGCAGCACAGTGAGCTCCTAATGTTCATAACACTATGACAACGAGGGGGTCTATTGCACTTCTCCCCTCTTCATGTGCCAAGGTCAAAGCTAAACCTTTCTGTTAAAGGTGGCTCAAGGATTCTTAGTGGTGCAGGCAAAAATGAATTTTGCTGTCTCGGGTGTGAGGATAAAAATCAGTCACTTATAAAAGCCAGCCTGGAGTTTCTGCAAGGACACTGAAATAAAGGTGCAGCTGCTTGCCAAGGACCACCTCTGATCATCCACAGGTGGGGGCTGGTAGCACAAGCAAGTCTTAATTTTGAAGTACATAGTAGAGGGTACAGAGTTGGGCTGCCCAGTTGTGGGTTTGCATTCATTGCTCCCACAGCCTAAAGCATCACCTACATTGCTAAAAGGCAAGATAAATTAAAATGCAAATGCAAATGGAGTTAAGAATTTTGGGGGAGGTTGCATAGAAAAGCTACACCAAGGGTTGTCAATGTGAAACAGGTTTCTCAAGCAGCATAAGGTTGAAGAAAAAGGCAGTGTACAGGATTAGTGAGATTAAAGAAATTTGAACTCCTAATATCTCTTCTCCATCTGACTTCCCTTTCACCATGAAAGGATAGGTTACTGCAATTGCCCTCCACTTCCCCAGTAGTCAGCAAGAGACCTTTTTATGACAGGAAAATGGTTTTGACTCAGCTTACAGCACACATTTCCACTTATGCAAAAAATGCTGTATAAACAGGCATTACTAGTGTATAAATAATATTAATAATATTCCATGATCCAGCATGTGAGATTCAACACCAGGAACAGACCACAGAATATTTCTGATTTCTTGAGAATAGGTGCAAAATACCAGAAAACGATTCAATAAAATATCAGAAGTGGAAAATACAAGTTTTCACTGCATTTTTGAGACCACTTCAAACTTGAACACAACACTATTTAGTGTTGTAAATTTTGCCATATTGGTGACATTTTTGTCTAAAAGGAGAGCTCTGTCATCTATGACTTAATCTTGCAGTGGTACAGCCTACTACTGAGAAGCAACACTCCTTCAAAATTACAGCAGCTGTTGCAAACTGTTGTTCAAAGGGAGTTTAGGATGATGTGTCACTTCACAGCCCAACCAGTGGTGTACCAGTTCCACATGACTTGGCCTTGATTTAGACCAGCTTTACATCAGCTGCTTATTTGCCCTGATTCTGTTGGTGCAAAGGAGCTCCTGAAAGTTGCTCTTCATTATTTTATTCTCAGCTGCAAACTAGTGATGTTGGTGAGAGCTGAAGGTGTTCAGGACATCACCCTTCTTCCACGTTCCACTTCAAAGCCAAATTCAGTC